ATGTCAGCCTGGGAAGATTAGTGAAAATGTCATTGACAATTAATGCAGTCTCAATAAATCCCAGAGCCACGTCCCCCCCCCCCTGAAAATTTAACAACATCATTGTATCCTTGGAGCACACTAGTCAGGTTAGCCTTTTGTACACAAGGAATGTGTAGAATTATTGTAAAGCGTTCAAGGTAACATGCATGCTTCAATGTCCAATTATCAAACATCTCATATTTAAATTGTTTCTTTTTCAATGGACATCTTGTAATTATATATTTATAATAATATTATTAATATTGATTACGCAAAGTAAAATACCAATCGTTCATTTACTATCAGAAAGATCTGCTCCGTGTTTTGTTTCCAATTAAAATATTTATAACAAAAAAGACTACAAATAAAAAAAGTAAAAAAACACATATCAATACAAATAAAAAAAGCACCTCTGTCATTAACACATCTTCAGACCCAAACAACAATGCTCACGTTTTGTCATTGAAAAATAAATTGTTTCCAAAAAAAAAAAACAATCGCGCGTCAACAAAAAAAAAATCTGTGCAACATCAAATGCCAATAATGAGGATGTGAGCGAAAATTACATTATTTGAAGAGTAACTTCATCATCACTAAACTCTAGTGATCGATTTATCGTGATTCAACAATAAAAGAATTTCAGCATTCTTTGAAGATTTAAAGATTATAAAATAGAAAAATTAAAACATGCACCAAAATCTGCCTTATGTGCTATGTGAAGGTCGTTCTAAGTACCAATATTGACCAACCTTTAAACTCAGACATCAAAGACAGCTCAAGCATATTATTAATATTATTAATGTTATTGCGTATTACTATTATGCGTAGCTAACTTCAAAGTCGAAAAGTCGATTCGAAAAAACATTTATATTTATAATAAAAGAATGAGTTTAATTTGTAAAAAAGAAGGAAAAAAAATAAGTAGTTTAATTGAGTAAAATTTCTAATTCAAATTATAACATTTGTAAACCTCCCATGATAATTATTCTTCTTGCATCATTGCCCAATATACATACAATGATATAATAATTCTTTATTAATCTCCGGGACACACATTTTACACTTTTGATATTCCTATTTTTATCATTATCATTATTTCTTGCTTGTATCAAGCATTTTTACTGTCGAGTGTTTTTAATTACATCAAGTGGTTTTACTTACATCAAGGGCTTTTGCTTTTAGTCAAATCGTCAAAATTGCCCTGGTGAGAAACTACCTTTAGTCAATACTTTAGTTACATCAATGACTAAAAGTCAAAAGTTTCATCATACATCATTGCTTGACAATTTCATTATTTGTGTTGTATTCCAAATATCATTCCAGGATTCCTTTGCAAAATTTGCCAATCTCATCTCATCATTACGAATATATTTTATCGGTTGTGTTCCATGAGCCTTTGGACCATAGGATACTTTAACAAAAAAAAACTCATATTGAATTGATTCCTAGCAAGTATCACATATAATCAGGATATCTTTGTCGTTGTTTCTAAAATTATTTAATATTTATTTATTTATTTATTAAAGTAAGAAGTTGAAAATTGGTGTGATGAGGTCATTGACCAGGAATGTTCATTAACATTGCAATGTAGGAAACCCCAAATGCTCAATTAAAGATGAAAATTGCAATTGAAATTCTGCAACACTTGATGTTGCAACATTCCAGAAAATCATCTTAAATTCCGCAATGTTCACAATTAACTACATGTTGCAATTATCCGCAGTTCCGCAAATATTTCCAATACCTGCCTGCAATTGTCCACAACTCCATAAATTATTTTTCATATCTGCAATCCTCCAAAATCCTTTTTATAAACTCAAATTAAAATTTATTCTTGGTACCTAATTAAAAATGCAGTATAACTCTTGTTTCGTTTCAACGGATTTTAAATGAAATTTTCTTATATGTCCAGTCACTCTGTTGAAATGAGGATTATACTAATACTGTGACCATTTTTTTATAAACTAAATATTTTAACGTTTACAGATATTTTGGTTAACAATTTTAAAAATAAGGTAAAACAATTCTTTTTTTTAAATCAATTTTCCTTTACACAAAAAGGATTGCGGAGCTTCTCATAATTGCGGACAATTGCGGACATAGAAAATAATTACCCAAATCCGCAATAATTGTGGCTCCCATCTTTAGGCCCAATCAACAATTTATAAAGGTAAAAAGTAGGCATTTTGTAAATTATTATTGATAAAATAAAAATTAATTTTTTATAATGTGTTCAACGATGATCATTGAAAGGTTTGTAGTTGTAACATTGTAATCTTAAAGAGAAATGATTGGGAATTGATCCTTCAGATGCTAACAAACAAACAAAAATAAATCATTAAAGTATCTTGAACTCGAAAACTTCATTCGATTTCTAAACATTTAACGATGGCTTTAATTATTTAAACATAAGTTTATCTATTACTATATAAATCAAAGGGACGGAAGGGATTGATTCATAGTCAGCTCAAGCTTTTTTATTGGTCCGACATCTTTTCTTTCTTTTATTATAAATAGAACTTCCACCCGTTTAAAAAAAAATTTGACAGCACTTAACTTAACTTGACGTTAACGTTAACTTTAACCACTCTATATGCACAACGCAATCATTTTCGTAACACTTGAAATTTCCTTTTTTTTTCGAAAGATTATATAGAAAATCAGATTCCACGACACGACACGAAAAATTCCTTTATTAAACAAATTCTATATGAAAAAATGACCGAAAATATCTTTTTTTTAAGTTAAATACGTCTCGCTAAATCTTCCTTCGTTAAAAAAAAAAAATTTTTTTTTTTGGTCATTTTTCATTATCATTTCCTGATCATGATCATGATAATTAAGCGCTTCCCAAATTTTTAAGCCGTCCAAAAGCTGTAATTATAATATTCCTTTAATCAAATCAAGTCTTTTTCAAAAATGTGAAGGAACACTTTCTCACCACTAAACAATTCAGAATCAATTCATTATTGTCAAAGGAATCAACAAAAAATGTAAAGAAGATGCATAATGATTTGGAATTAATTTCCTTATTGTTAATATTAAACAACCATGCCTTTTTGAAAATACTTTCTCCGCTGCTAAAAAAATAACAACTCGGAATTAAATTCATCATTGTTTAAAGGAACCGATCAAGCTTTTTTCGAAAATGTAAAGAAGATCTTTTCTGCTACTAAAAAAGCATGATCATTTGAATTATTTCTTATTGTTAATATTTAAACAGCCATGCCTTTTTTGAAAATGTGAAAATACTTTTCCACCATTAAAAAGACGTAACAATTCGGAATTAATGCATTGTTGTTAATGTTAATATTAAAGAAATCAACCATGCCTTTTTCTAAAATGTAAAAAGATGCTAAATTAATTCGATTGTTTATCATTTGACAGTTTTTGAATAGTTAAAGCCGTATATTAAATGCATAAAGCCTTTACTTAAAATGTAAAAAAAGAAATTATTGATATAAATAGTGGTTAAATTATATTCATATAAAAATAAAAATAATAATCGTAATAATAATAAAAGAATATGTATGTTCTATTTTTATTGCCAATTGTTCTATGAAAAACGTAACTTCCACTGAGCGGAAGAAAGAGACATCTTGTATTTTGAAATTTACAGTAAGAGGGCATTCAAGGAAATAATTTCCTTTTCAGAATGCATTTGCTCTGGCTGTTCATAAAACTCAAGGATCGACCCTGTCACACGTAAGATTGAACGAAAGTATGTTTGCTGGAGGGCAAGAGCTCCCCTCATTAGAAAACTACAGACCCTTGATTTTTATTATTCTCAATTAAAAATTTCTAGGACAGTTTTAAAAAAGATTAGAGACTATGAGTATTGATGGGCTGCAAACCAACAACATTCTAAAAGAAAATATTGAAAATTGGATGTAATCATGTATGATATAAAAAACAAAAATTCCATATTAATATTAATCCTTGTGTGATAGTACACAAACTCGCAGCAACCTTCTTGTTTATTAATCTCGATAAAACCGCGTTTCAACGAATTCACGTGATAATTGACAATTATTTCCATGATTTAGATTTAAAAATTGTAATAGTAGTGCCGCACCAACAGCCATTGCTGGAAAAAATCTGGATAACTCCCCATTGGATAAAGGAATAAATTTCAGTGATAAAATGGAAAATTCTATAAATGTAATAAAAAAATATTTCAAATTTGATCAAATGAATTACTTTTTTCTTCGCCATTATCAGCAGAAGAATATATTTAGATCGATAATGGAGTGGAAGATAATGAAATGGTGACAGAAGAAGAAATTATTTCTTCATTTATTCCAGTTGAAGAAGAATCTGGCAAAAATGGTACATCAACATCTAAAATTTCTACAGCTGCTGCTGATGCCTTTGAAACAGTGTACAATTTTCTTCGACAAGGTGATATTAAACGAATCTAAAAGCTTTTAATTCGTGAGACGTGAGACAACTGCAAAAATTTCACGCATATACTACCTTTTACATCGATTTAAAATTACAATTGTGCTTGTAATCTCGATATATCAATATAATAAAATACTTTGCCTTTATATGTAGGACCACCGGACTCTTGCCTAAAATCACTATAAAATTTAAAGTTTTGGGAATATTTTTGACACAAAAATAAGCCCCAAAATCTTTTTTCAAAATAAAAACTTTGAAATTTCATGGATGATTGAAAAGTTTTAAGTTGAGCAGTGTATGAAAAATATGTAAATTCTTACCAAGTTGAGCCACGTGAGAACGGTCAGAATTCCTAGCCACAAAAACATATTAACGATCCAACTAAATCATTAAAAAAGAAAATTGGATTACAAACTAGCATTATAAATCATTTATTATTTGCATGAATTTTTGTGACAATGTTAGTATTTAGTATTAATGACAATCACCATTGTATTTTTTTTTTTTTTTTGTGCATCATAATAAATTTTTTTGTCGAAAAAAAATTATTTTATTAAATAATTCCAATTTTAAAAATGGAAAATGTTAAAGACCTTACAGAAGTAGTGATTAATGATGTCCCTAATGATGACGAAATAGAAACTTTAAGTATTAGCAGTTATGTTAGGGATCATGATGACGGAATAGAAGATACAAAAGAAAGTACCAATTTTAATAATGATATAGAAAGCACAAAAGAAAGTATAAATTTTAAAGATGATGATATGAAAAGTACAATAATTATAGAACATAAAAATACCAATAATGATGATAATATAGAACATAAAAATATCAACAATGACGATAATATTGAACATAAAAATATCAACAATGATGACAAAAAAATTCTACATGATGGCTGCCATATTGACGAAATAAAATATAGTCTTAGCGGCAAGTTTTTTGTCACTCATAGTAGAAAAAACAAATCTATTGTTGGATGGAGTATTGATAATGGAAAACTTTGTGATGTTACAAGGTTTAAATATACCCATAAAGATTTGTTAGATATCTTATATATTTCAAGTATAGAGGATGTTTCTAATAATGGACATGTAATTATATATAATGCATTTTCCAATGATAAAAATTATAGTAAGTATTTGTAATTTGTAATTTTCATTGGAAAATATGAATTTATAATGATAATTTAAATTTGTTTTCTAGAATTTTTTGACCTTTCAAACAACAACAATAGATTTATTGAAATTTTGCATAAAGGCAAAAAACTTGAGCATTTTGATAATGGATTTTTCACAAATAATAATGATTTAATAATAATAGACCATATCAAGGACCATTCAGAATATTTTAATATAATTCATTTTTTCACATATAACAATAGCGGTAGAAATGATCAATTTGTTTATAGAGAAACATATCATTATGCCAGTCATACTAGTCCCAAATTTTTAGTAAATTCTAAGAATATTCTAACTACTTATTACGGTGCATTGATATCAGAATGGAATGATAAAACTTTTTTATATAAAAATACATATTATTTATTATATAATGATGCTTATATACATTTTAATAAAGATAATACAATAATAGCAGCCTATTATAAAGATAATTCAAAATTAATAGTTTATTCATTAAAAGATAACTTTACAATTTCTTCACGTAAGTACTTATAATAATGAGTTATACATATTTCCAATTGTACTTTTATATTTACATCTTACTAAATTTTTCAAAATTTTTTTTTTGTAGATGAATTGAAAAAAAATATCGAGATTAAAAAATATGATTTTATTTATACAAAAGATAAATTAGAACTTTTGTTGGTTATATTTTATGATGAAGAAACAAAGAAGTATTCATGTGAATTAATGGATCCTTATAATCTTCGTAATTCTATCTGTGTAACAGAATATTTTAATAAATATATTATAGGTGATGTGAATGAGCAGGGAATACTATTTGGACAAGTTTCACTTGATAACAAAATAGTTATAGTTATTGATTCACAGATTTTCCTTAAAGAAATTAATGAAGAGAAATTGGATATTCAACGATTACCATTAAAACGTAATCAATGCTTATATATAAAACGAGCAATAACTGATTATCATGAAAAAATTTTCAGCTTTAATATAAAAAAAGAATTTAATATTAAGCCTGGAAAGACAATTAAATGGCTGGTTTTGGTAGATAGTGATGATTGTTGTTTAAATATTAATGTAAAAGCTCAAAAGTTCACCAAAAAATGGGACACACTTGATGAATTTGTTGTTAAAACTAAGAATAATTATGCCCATTGTAAATTATTAGAAAATGATGATTTATGTTTTGCAACTAAAGAACATTTACAAATTTTATCATTTAATGACAAGAAAATATTCACAAAGTATATTAGAAAAGAAGAAGAATCTGTAGAATTTTTATCAAACAATGTTAAAAAGAAGAATGATGATAATGACAATGATGTTGAAACTAGTGTATTTAATTATAAGAATATTTGTGATGATTTTGAATATTCATATCTTGATAAAAACCAAAATTCTAGATATCCTTACAAAGAAATGATTTTATATATGTTAGATGATTTTTATTATCTCAATAGATATGGAAAAAAGTTTTTAAAGCTAGCAATAAAAAATAATAATATAACAATCATAGAAAAGATATTTAATAATTGTCTAAAACATTTTGAAAATGATACTGAATCAAATATTAGTTTATTAAAAATAATTATATCAAAATTACCACAATTAGAGAAACATCATTATAAATTAACATCAAAATTTTTTATAAAGACTTCAATAATACTAGTTCCATTTCATAATTCAATCGATTATTTCGATATATTTTATAATGCTCATTCTTATTCAACAATAATTTTCGAGGAAAGCAAACTTTGGGTTGCTTATCATACTATGAAAAATTCCATTAAAAAGAGATTTTTTAATTCTTCAGATAAAAAGACTCCTAGAGTTAATTTGATGATTCCCTATCCTGGATTACTTACATACAAAAAACATAAATCCGCATTTTGTAAAGAATTACTTCAACCAAAAAATAATATATTTACAGAGCTAGACACTTCGGAATTATATAAGCATTGGAATGGACAAGTCATTGTGGATTTCAAATGGAATAGATTTGCATTAAATTATTATTATGTAATCTGGATGTTTTACATAGCATTTCTACTATGTTTTGCAGTTGCAACTACCACCACTCCAGACATTGATAATAAAAACTCATTGCTAATTATCACAATCATCTTTGGAGTAATTCATCTGAGTTTCGAAATTAGACAATTTTTTTGGAATCCAAATAAATATATTATAGATTTTTGGAATTATTTTGGTATGATATTAAATTAATTTATATTAAATTTTATTTAAAAATATCATTAATTATATTATTATTAATTATTATTATTTAAAATAGATCTTGGAGCATATTTGCTTCCAATTATCACTTCGTTATTATTGTTAACTAGAGAAGATTTAGCATTTGACTGGTTAATTTCATTATCTAATTTACTTTTAGATTTAAAGTTCATGTTATTTTTAAGAGTATTTGAATATTTTGGAGTATATTTCGCAATTATTATAGGAGTAGCAAAAAAAGTTTTTTCATTCCTAATGATTTTACTTATAATCATTCTAAGTTTTTCACACGCATTTTACATATTACTAAAACCAAAGCAAAATATCACATTAGACCCTCCCGATAATAATTCTGATGATGATTCTGGTGATGATAATAATCCTTGGAACCTTACTAATAAATATTATACATATTTTACAGGCAATAATTCATATAGCCAGGATTCGTATCTTGTTCAACAGCCTGATGGCAATACAAACATGTTTAGTCATTATCATTATTCAGTATTGGCGATGTATAAGTTTCTTACAGGTAATAAAAAAATTTTAAATTTTTTTAAACAAGTATTTCCTATTAATAATAATGTTTTTAATAGGTGATAGTGGAGCATTTGGGCCTTGGGTAATACAAGATAATGCTTATTTGTCAATATTGTTTGTTGTATTTTCATTTATTGTGGTGGTATACTTGATGAACTTGTTTATCGGACTGCTTAGTAATGAAATAGAAATATATAACAAGCAAGAAGCATTCTTGGTTCAAAAAGCAAAGATAATAACCGAAATTGAATTATTTTATTTATTCCCTAATCAACGTCGTTGGAAAAATTGGTTTCCTGATATATTGTAACTATATTTTTTATTTATTTGTTTATTTATTAATATATTCACATTTATACATATTTATATTAATCAACTTGTACATTTATTCATTTAATAAGATCATACTCCGTTCCAATTAATGATATCCGTAAAAAAATCAAGGAAATAGATGATAGTAACGAAGGTTCAGAATATTTACCATATATTTCTGATAAACTTAGGGATCTTGTTGATATACCTAAACCAAAAGAAGATATAAATAATTCTGAACAATTTGAAAAAGGAATTGTTAAAGCAATTGAAGATAATCTTAAAGTTGGTTTTGAGAGTCAAATGAAACTTTTAATGGATGAGATTAAATTATTAAAAAAACAATGATTTATTTTACTTTGTTTATATAGATATTTGTATTTTATTGTATTTTTATTATTTATTTTAACATTTTATCCTTTTATTGTTTTTTTTTTTGGGGGAGTATTTTTCAATGTGATTTTTATTTGTTATTCCATCTGTACATTTTTTTACAACGGCAAAAGAATCTTTTCCAAGTATATTTTATATTTGTACTCCAGGAATATAAATAGATTATGTATAAATAAACAAAATATACATTGATGATAGTAAACCTGGGGAAATATGTGTTACCAAGATTATTTTTCTTTTAATTTATTTTAATTCGATTTTTTTTGGTGAATCGTTTATTATTATGATTAATAAAATTGATAAGATATATAGTAGCCAACCAGCTTGTTTAATGATTGGGCTAAAGTAGTGATCAATAAGAGTCAATTAAATTTAAGTCAGTTCATTGACTCTTTTATTTAATTATAAAACAGATATATTTATTTGATATTAATATATTAAAAAGGTATATATATTATATTAAATTATATAATATATATACACATTATGTTAATTATATACTAACTAATCATTAACTAATTAACCACTCGCTCACTTTTGAAGATATAATATAATGAGTCAGAGAAGAAAAATATCTGAAGACTTGAAGAAATCAAAGAATCCGTGGTCGATAGAAGATGATGACCATTTACAATCATTAATGAAAGAGCATGGAACTTCTTGGATAAAAATTGCATCATATTTTCCAGGCAGAGACGCCAAAAGTTGTCAAAATCGGTAATTATAATAATCCATCATCTATCCATCCCATTCATTCATTCGTCCACACCCATTCATTTAATAAATAAATCATTATTATTATAAAGAGTTCAATATTTGAAGAGACGACCTACTGAATGGACGGAGGATGAAGATAATTTACTTAAACAAGCTGTAAAGAATAACTCCAAATCATTCCAAGAAGTATGGAAGATGGTAGCTGAAAAATTACCATCAAAGACATGGCAACAATGTGAAAAAAGATGGCTGGTAGTTTGTGGTAGTGGTGCTAGTGGCAGTGGTGGAATTGGTAGTAGTAGTGGCGGCGATAATGAATAATAATGTTGATATTGATAATAAAAATTAATAATAATAAATAGATAGTACAATAGTTAATAATATAATGAATATATATAGAATTAGTAGTAGTAAAAGAATCAAATTATCATTTAATATTTGTTTATTTCTCTTGTATTATAAGAATTATTATATAAAATATGATATATATACACATTTGCAATAAGAATATTAATTAAAACAATATATATTCAAGTTTTTGAGGTTAAAGCTGAAGTTGTTGATACTTGTTGATTTTCATTTGATAGATTTCTTAAAGATAAATCATACACAACTAAAAAAAACCAAAAAATAAAAAAAAAATTAATTTTTTTGATAAAATTAGAAAACCAAAAAAAAAAAGGAATATACCTTCTTCAATTTTTTTAATATTGTACTAAAATTCCAAAATTTGTAAAAATTTTATAATGAACCTAATAAATAACATATAAAAGAAATATTTTCAAAAATACCTTTATTCCGTCAAATCTTTTTCTTAGATTATCATTTTTTAAATTCAATAATTGGAAGCCAGTATATAATTCTTTAACGAATTTAGATATTCTAATTGGTCTATCATAATCACCAACTGTGACTGAATTAACTGCTAACCTTGACTTTTTTATTAGAATTAATGAATATTGTGTTGACATATAAATATAATTATCGCAAATATAATAATTATAATAGATAGACAAATTATTCTTATAGATAGATAATTATCATAATATAGTTAACATCAAATTGATATTTCTTACCAATTCATTAGTCAAATTGATGTAACCGTAAAGAAAATCTTCAATTGGTATATGAAAATCTTGAATATCATTTCCAATATTTATCTTGACTTTTTAATTTGAGAGAAAAAATATAGTTAAAAATTTAAGATATCCATTGACTAAAATCTAGTGTTATTTTAAATACCATTAAATAAATCTTCTACTAAATCAATAGTGATTAATTTATCAGTTGATAAATAAATTGCAAATGCAGCAAGAAATAAAGATGTCTGAAGAGTCCTTGACCAAATATCATTGTATCTAAATATTAACAACAATTTTGTTAATAATTAATTTTATTAATAATATGAGAATTGTATAACATATAAAAGAAATATTTTCAAAAATACCTTTATTCCGTCAAATCTTTTTCTTAGATTATCATTTTTTAAATTCAATAATTGGAAGCCAGTATATAATTCTTTAACGAATTTAGATATTCTAATTGGTCTATCATAATCACCAACTGTGACTGAATTAACTGCTAACCTTGACTTTTTTATTAGAATTAATGAATATTGTGTTGACATATAAATATAATTATCGCAAATATAATAATTATAATAGATAGACAAATTATTCTTATAGATAGATAATTATCATAATATAGTTAACATCAAATTGATATTTCTTACCAATTCATTAGTCAAATTGATGTAACCGTAAAGAAAATCTTCAATTGGTATATGAAAATCTTGAATATCATTTCCAATATTTATCTTGACTTTTTAATTTGAGAGAAAAAATATAGTTAAAAATTTAAGATATCCATTGACTAAAATCTAGTGTTATTTTAAATACCATTAAATAAATCTTCTACTAAATCAATAGTGATTAATTTATCAGTTGATAAATAAATTGCAAATGCAGCAAGAAATAAAGATGTCTGAAGAGTCCTTGACCAAATATCATTGTATCTAAATATTAACAACAATTTTGTTAATAATTAATTTTATTAATAATATGAGAATTGTACCAATAAAAGAATTGCTCTGAAAATTAATTTATTGGCACAACCCTATATCATCATCGTCATCATCATCATCATCACCATCATATTATTATCATATTATTATATTTACTTGTAATATTGTTGATGTGGTATAATAGCAGCTAACTTTTCTAAATGGTTTTTCACTTCTCCAAAATTATCAATTGCTTTTTGTCCAATACTTGCAACTAAAATAATAAAGTTTTTGTTTCAGAGATATTTTTCTCCCATATTTCGATCTAATGGTAATAAATCAAATAGATTAAGTAATTACTTTCTTCAGGTTTAGCGGAATGAGCAGTATTTAAAATTGCATTGATATGGCGACAAGTTTTATCATACTCTTTCACCACTTTAAATATTTCCTATAAAAATATTAAAAATTAAATAAATATCAGGGATTAATTTATGATAGTAATAAATCAAACCAACATCTTTTCTTGCAGCTTCTTCTTCGAATGAAGAGTCAATCTCGTTGAAAAATTTTAAGAAATCATTAGACATTTTGATTTAATATACGTGATTTTGATTGCAAGATAAAAATTCGACCATTGAGATCCACCAATTAAAACAAAACTTGGTGTTTGTTGTACTTGTGAGCGTCACGCACTAACCAAGTTTGGAAATAGACCGCAAATAATTTCTAAATTTACACTAGTTTTGTGTTAAGGCGCAGTGGAACATCGACATAAATTTTCGTGTAACAGTATACACAATTAAAAATCTTCTATTATACATGCTGCCCAAATCCCAAATGTACAAAGTGAATTTGGGCCAGCCTGTCAAAGAAATCCAAATCTCAAACTACTTTGTACACTCCTGACATTCTTCTCATTGGTTAGGAAAACAGAGCAGAAAGATTGATCAACATATGGGATGTACAAGATTTGGGATTCTTGATTTTTAATTGGGGGAGCATCTATACTTTCTACTTGAGCATTAGAAAGAGGTATAATCAGTGCTATTTTAAGAATAAATTGTTGTTGTTAGATGATTAGAAGGAAAAATCTCATCATTATCTAAAATATGTTTCCATAATTGATTAAAGTCTAATTTTTGTACAATTGGAGATAAGGTTTTACAGGATTCTATTATTTGATGAGTTTCCCTTTTTCAATAATTCCATAAAATTCATTATTGCCCACAAATTTAGTTTCACCATAAAATTTATCTAGGAACTCTATCTCATTTATTCCATATATAACCAAACCTCTCTCATTTTCTTTTGGATCAAATATATTAAAAAAGAAGTATAATTCAGAGTCAGGGAATCTATTAGAAATTGATTCTATATTATTACCAATGGGTATTTTCTGACAAATGAAGGTACTACTAACTGATTATGTTCATTTAAATATTTTCTAAATATTACACCATAATTTGGTAGAACATCCACATAACCTTATAAATCCCAGAGGTTATATCTTTAATTGTGTTGCCAAGTGCTAATTTAAACTTTGATAATGATAAATTTTCTAATTGAAATGTATTGATTAATTTTTTTAAAATATTTGATAAATCAGCAAGAAACATTGTTTCAGAAATAAATTCTTGATCTAATT